AATTTCTCCATGTCTCTCTCATCGAAACTTCATACTGTTTAATAATTACACAATTACTATTCTGCAACCGGGTGGTTGTTGTCAAAACTAAGGAGCTTACCTGAACTAAATGAAGGTTAAAGGTGATGACTCATAGAAAATTCTGAGAAGTGAGAACAAAGGAGGCACTCTTCTTGGAAAAAACCATGACTCATAGGATGGGAATATAAAGACACCCGTGAACCCTCAGTTCAAACAGATAAACGTGTGCAAGTCGCGTTGTAACAGTTTAGTTTATTCTTATTCAAATTTCAAAATTACCGCTTGCTAGGTTAGGCAGGATATAGGTGAGATGGCGTCACTTGTACGCGTGCTTCTTTCCTCGCGCAGAATCGCGTTAATTTTTCACTTCATTTCCGTTTTAAAACCAACGAGGTTGTACTTGTTGTAGAGCGTGGCATTGTGAATTCTTCTTAAACCAGTGGGTAATATTTGCCATCATTCATGTGAAATCTCTGGCAATTTTACCTTTTTATTGGCGTTGTCGAGTAGAGTAACTCAGAAGCCGTTTTCTCCATTGCGAGGCTATATATCTGGTGGAAGTTCATCGCCCTACCTACATGGAAGTGAAATGGCGTTGACTTTCTTTTACGTTATGTTATCTAAAATTCTTTCAGATTCACAATTTGAGGTTGGATAATTTCCCTATTTCATTGATTTAAGTATTTTTCATTACCCTCCTGACGATTTCAGGTATGTTATTAAAAATCTCGTTAGGGAGTGTTACATCTTCATTACTTTTAGGGGGTCCATGTAGTAGATCAATCCATGTAGTAGATGAATTCTTGTACCGATCAATCCATGTAGTAGATGAATCCTTGTATGTAAATGAATTTGCATCTTGCGAATATTCCGGAGTACGAACACCTGTTGATTGCCGGCAGCTATCCGGCGTACCACCGAGTAGATAAGCGCTGACACCTAAACGATACCGGGAGCGACCAGCTGATTGTGGAATTTTCGGAAGATACGATCTTTTACACAACCTTTTTGTTATTTGCTTCAATACCATTAATCTAGTGTAACCTTCCGACGATTTATGATTGGAGCTTTGTATTTTGTTCGCATCTAGTGTTTGAGGTCGTGGCTCTCTTCAAGAGCAACGCACCTGTATTTAACGTATGGGTAAACGAGCCGGCTACGAGTAAGCTATTTTTTTGGCCCTTCCGGCTCATATAATCGTTCCGAGCGTTGTAGCTTGGGGTTTGTTTTTGTGTTACAGAACTGGAACTTCGAAGGAGAGCTCTTTTTCGGAGAAGACAGCGTATGTGTTATTCAAGGTAAGATTTTTAATTTACTTGTACCCAGTGTTGCCTATATGAGTTGTTATTCGGGTTAAATTAATTCAATCTTTGAATCATTGAAATCTTAACTACATTTTTGCTCGATCATTGTTGTAGGGGTCTGGTAACGTAATTATTAGGGAAGTGTTCATGAATTTATTTGGGGATTATTTTTGTCATTTAAAGTATTTGTTATTGTCGTATTGAAGATACATTTTATTTGCCGATCCTGCACCGTTTTGCCAGGATTAATAAATCAGAATTGCTCGTAGTGAATTTATTATTTGGCTCTCTTGTGTTTTCCCAATTTCTATACAGGAGAGGTCAGAATTTGTGCAAAATTGGGTGGCGCTCAACTAATCATTTCTAGTGACTACCAAAGATCAAAAACTTATGTTATATGCCCAAACGAACAAACCGCTGTGGAAGATTCTCATCTCGAGCCCTTCTTTTAATTAAGAATCTGAGCTAGCTGGCCGTTTATGCGGCGGGGTTTGAGTTTTACAGCGCCGAACTAACCTCACGTTATAGCGTTTAACACTTCTGTGCAGTGACATTGCAACGTAATAGGCGTGTGCAAATATGGTATCATCATCGGTAGGGTTAATGAGCACTCAGATCGTAAATCTGACACGGGAGTGTATTTCTTTATTAAAACATAGGGATGAGATTGTTCGTCATTTATCAATTTTACGTGATAATGTTTCCATAGTAGAAAAAGCTCTTAGTAATAAAATATATAATAAAAAGGAAAATCCGGCTAGATTAGAATCAAATTTGGCACTTCTTAAATATTATGCATTGCTTCTAGAGAAAAAGCTAAGTAACGTTCAAGGTGGTGGATTAGGTAATGGTAATGTGCGTCCTCTAATCTGGCGCTCAGTGCACTCCTGTTTTAAATCTCGCCTTTTAACTGGTATAATTGTGAATTTCGAATACAAAGACCCGTTAATTTTTTTGCAAAAGGCTTACGATATTTTCACTGAAAAGGTAAGCGTTATGTCACGTAAGTCAATGTTAAAAGTAAACGTCGCTCTTGTATGTAGTTTCATTAATCCTCAAAATCTCGATGTCACTTTGAAAACGTTCGCAACGAAAAATTTGATTATTGACGGGGAAACTGATTTGCGCGAGTGTTATGACAATGAAGTGATCGATAGGTTACAGAATAAGCTTTCATTATATCAGGAAGAAGGGTCCGGGTTCGCTTTACAGGAAATATACAATTTAAAAGTAAACATAAACAAATACGTTCCCATAAGGGGCGGTATTTCAACTTTCATTAAAACGCCAGAATTTATCGCTCGAAAGCATGCGGTTATTAATGTAAAAAATAATGACAGTAGCCATATATAGCCGATACTAACTCAACTCCATGTAAAATCCCATAAGACGATTTTCAAATCTCCTGAAGGTCATCTTCCTCTGGCGGCGATTTTGAAAACTAGAGCTCTCAAAGGGTAACGACCTTAATGGAGCCTCTGGTAGTCACTTTGAGGTCAGCGATTTACCAGAGGGAGGGGATGTCTTAAGAGGGCGTGGTTAACTACTTGGGGGAATATAAAGTGGTCGGTTGTTAGACGTAATTGATAGACAGCAAGATGACAAAAACCACTGAATCAGTTGCGAGAAAAGCAAAGGTATCGCCAGTGTATATATCACAAAAGAAGAGGCTTGAGAAGTTACTCATAAATTTGAAAAAATTAAAGTGGGATATTGAAGTATTTCAATGCCAACGACAAATTAATAAGTTAAATTTAAAATGATTGATGTGTTGGAAGAAATTTCGCTTATGGAGTTTTCGGGCTGGAAGACCTTCTGTAGAGATTAATGGAAACTAAGGAGCTACCTATCTATAATTGAATATGTTTTGTGAAAAGTTACTCGCTAAACAAAGAATTTGTTACAATTTTTGTAAACATGCAACCAATAAATTTTGTTTGAATGCATCTAATTTAATTTGCCAAATCCATTAGGTATCTAAACCCACCTACCAAGTAAATATTAAGAAAATTAAGTAGTTTGAGAGTAAGTAGGAGTAAATGTGTTCCGGTTAAAGTACTTATTAATGGAAAGGCATAATGGTTAATGCACGGTGGATAATTTTTGAAGCCCTTTGTAATTTAGGGGAAGGAAAAAGCCGTCCCTACACTCAATGGAATTAACGAATTTAAACGAATCGTTCCAGATGTTATTGTGCACTTTTTGACCTTATTATCATAAATGTAGGTACTATGTAAAAATAGACATTTTATCTCCGCCTATAAGAATGTATTCTCAATCTTCTTTTCACCTTTATATTGGGAATATTAGAGTAGGTACTTAATTTTCATTAACGAGTTACATCTTTAAAACGTAATCCTAGTAAAAGTATATTTTGTCCTATTATAAGAAATTTTGATAAGGTACACGAACTTAATTGTACATTTATTCAGAAAAGTGGTACCTACTTTAAGTAGAGCACAATGTTAATAGTAGATTACATACCGAGCTGGGAGGTGGTTCATTACCTACCCGGAGGGCTTAAGGCGCGAGGCGTTGGTTATGAACCACTGACCAGCGAGGTTTGTATACTATTTTACTCACAATCGATCATTTAAGGTAAAGTATATAATTCAACAAGGTGTTACTTTAACTGTCAATAATAGTGACACCGCCAATGTAACCATTAATGTTTACAACAATAGCAAATAGTTTCGTTCTTCTTCGTAATTTGCTATTGTTGTAAACATTAATGGTTACATTGGCGGTGTCACTATTAGTATAAGTTTCATATAAGGATAATATGAATAGCATTTGCAGGTAAGGAAAGTGACAGATGCTAGCCGGGAAAGTGACAGCTAGCCGGGAAAGTGACAGCTAGCCGGGAAAGTTACTTTCCCGGCTAAGGTGAGTAATGAGTCGCTTCGCAACCGCTATGAAGGTTAGGAATTCAGATAATACTAACCGATTGTGAGTAAACAATATTTTGTTTAAAAACTTTAAAAAAATTGCTCTGATGCCGTAAGTAAATTCAGCGGGATTTATTGCGGTGGTTTTCCATACAGCGAAAGCGAATGATATCACAATGCGAGAGCGGCTTCTAATGAGACAATGTACCACGGTCTATCGCTGTAAGCCGCCGAGTTCCCCTGAAACATACTCGTCTATTATAGGGAATGATGTTTAGCGCGGGCGACCGTAAAAGCGCGGTGTATTAAAAGTATACGGTCGGTACCTTATTAGAGAATGTATTAAGTCAATCTCATTAAGATCCGCCGTGTTCCCCAGCTACTCTCATTCTTCACATTTATGCAAAGATCGTGGAAGTTACACTTCTTTCTATGCGATCACCTACGTATTATGAACTGGTAAATCGAACTCTCATACCCAAACGAATTGAGTTGCTCGTTTTATCATTCTCAACATATGCAAGATCGTGGAAGTTAGCAGACTTTCTCTATGCGATCACTAATAAACTTACGATATTATGTACTGGTAAAATCGAACTCTCATATTCAGACGAATTATGAGTTGCTCGTTTTACTATGCTCCAGGTCCAGAGATTGTGGAAGTACGCTTTACGCTTCTTTCTATACGATTAACGTTAAATGGAACTATTTACTCTCATAGTTAATACTCAAGGAGGGAAGTTATGGGTTGCTCGTTTTACCATTTTAAATAAAATTATCCATCTAAACTACATTTATTATTTACAATTTGTTATTTCAAAAAATTAATAAATTTGTTCATATAAGTCATTTCTTCGCCCAGCCGTCGTTCGGTGAGGCGCGCTGCATCGAGCTCCTCTTCCAGCCTCCTCGTTGCCTTTTGCGCGTCTTCGTACCGCTGCATGTATTCAGGAGCCTTCTGTTGCAACCATGCAAGCGACGCCTTCGCCAATTCACGGGGTGTTGCAGGTTCAATCCATGAGGGAACGACGGCTGTTGGAAGTTGGATCGGTGGAATTATTTCTCCAGTTTCTGAAGGAGGCTGGGAGATCGTCTCATAGAAGCTTTGTTCGAACACCTCCCTCAGAAGCTTCATGTCCTTTTGTGCATGCCTGTAACAAAGAGAATAGGAATGTTAGAACTTTCTTTTCATTACACTTTCAAAATAACTTACTGAGATTGACCGACGGTACTCGTCTGTTGTTGTGCTCCTTGTAGTCTGAAAGCAAAATAAATTCATAGAAGTCGTTTTTCTTTTAAGAGAATGCAACTTACTGCGGCTCTGCCGGTGGTGGTGGCGGTGGTATTATAATATGTTGTAGCACACGGGCGGTCCCCTCTGGAATACTGAAATAAATATTAAAGTTAGGTTAATTACACTTCTTTAATGCAACTTACTGTAACTGGTAACTTGTCGATTGCGGTGCTGTTTGAGCAGGCTGTAGGCTGGTGGTGGTTTGATAATGTCTGCAAATATAAGTTAAAGGTATTAAAAGTTTCTTCGGTGCGCTTTTAACTTACTGCATGTTATTGATGGTACCTTTTATGTTGTTGTCCACTCTAAAAGGAAAAAAATATTAATTTCATGTTATTTTGACAAAGTTAGGTTAATTACTCTTCTTCAATGCAACTTACTGTAACTGGTAACTTGTCGATTGCGGTGCTGTTTGAGCCGGCTGTAGGCTGGTGGTGGTTTGATAATGTCTGCAAATATAAGTTAAAGGTATAAAAAAATACTTCGGTGCGCTTTTAACTTACTGCATGTTATTGACGGTGCCTTTTATGTTGTTGTCCACTCTAAAAGGAAAAAAAATATTAATTTCATGTTATTTTGGTATTGCGAATGTTTTACCTTTGGGGAGCGTACACGTGGTGGATGTTTCCATCCAACTGATCCAGCAACTCATCCAAGGTATTAAACGCGCTGTTTCTTAGATGAGTCGTTGTTGTTGTTATTCTAAAAAATAAAAGTTCATTTTAGTATCTTCATGAAATAATTGCACAAAAATCATATTTACCTCTCAGTTGGACCATCCTCGTCCACTAAATTAATGATAGCTTCTTGCGGAAGAGGTTTTTCGGCAGTTTTTGTATTTTTCGGTACTGTCGTTGTTGAAGAACTACCACTCGCTTTTGGTGCACTCTTTTTCGTAGATAATTTTACACGTTTTGCCGCCGACATGATAGCGATTTGCATCGAACTCTAAACTGATTCATGTAAGACATGTACGGGTATATACCGAGAATATTTTGTTAACGTTAGCATAAACTCTCCCGCGGGAACGTAAACTTTGCTCAGACGGGTTGACAGTCAAAGTCCACATCTGCCGATGAGAAAATTCTAAGTAACAGTAGGGCATGCACCTGAAGTAACCTTTCCATCTTTTTATGAAAGGGAATCCGTTTCTGTTCTCAGGTTTACACTTACGAGAAAATGTTAACGTTATCATAAACTCTCGTGGGAACGTAGACTTTTTCTCAGGCAGGTTGACGGTCAAAGCGCACACCTGCCGATAAGAAAATTCTAAGTAACAGAAAAAGTGGAGCATTCACCTGCAATAACATTTGCAATACACCTTATAAAGAGAATTTGTTCCTGTTCTCAGGTTTACTTACGTATACAGTATCATTCGAGCAGTATCTCAGTTGTGACATCTAGGATCGTGGTCAGCTAATCGCACTAGTGTCGGATAACTTATGAGTGCAACATTTCTAGGATTTACACAGATTAAAATCTTGGATAATTAAAACCCTTTGATCAGCATAGTAAGTATGGAATCTGTTTCGAGTATAAGCAGTGAGATCGTTAACCTAACCCGACATTCGGCAAATCTCTTAAAAAAGAAATCTGAAATTGTTAAACACATTTCAATCGCGAAAACCAACATTCGAATATTGCAAAGAGCTATTGTCAATCAAGTTCATTTCAATAATCCGAATGAAAATTCTTCGAGACTTGAATCTAATTTGGCGCTCTTGAAAAGCTATTTGGCTACGTTACAAGAGCGATTAAAGAATTTTTCCACGAAAAAAAGGGGTTGTGGGATCGATGTCATCAATAAAAGTCGATCACGTAAACTAGCGTGGTACACATTAGACTCCTGCTTCAATGGCCGTTTAATTACTGGTGTTATTGTTAATTTTGGTTATAAGGATCCCCTAATTTTTCTAAATCATGCGTACGATAGTTTTTTACGCCAAATTAAGATAGCGTTAGCAAGATCCATGTTAAAAGTAAACGTCATTTTAACTTGCAATTTTATTCATCCTCAAACTAGCATTATAGACTTGAAAACATTCCAGACCAAAAATGCTCCGATTGACATCGGTACTAATCTTAGGGAATGGTACAATGAAAACGTTTTCGATAAAATTCAAACAAAGTTGGAGAATTTCTCCGAAAAGAACTCTGGGTGGGCCTTATCGGATATAGTAAATCTGAAAATCAATATTAATCAGTACGTACCCATTAAGGGAGGGTTTTCAACATACGTCAAAGTTCCTCCTTTTATAGCCGCTAAGAGAGCAGTTATTAACGTAAAGAATAATGATCAGTTTTGTTTTCTGTGGTCAATAGTCGCAGCATTGCATCCCGTTAATAAAAATGCCGATAGAGTAAGTAGTTATCCTCATTTTGACCAAGTATTAAATCGTGGATCTATCAAATTCCCCATTAAACTAACAGATATTAAAAAATTTGAGAACATGAATGATATCTCCATTAACTTATATTGCATAGTTAAGAGAAATATATTTCCTTTTATGTTAAGTGGTAAAGTTGATAATAGAAAAACTATCAATTTATTGGTGTTGGTTTCTGACCAAAGCAATAAAGTCCTCAATACCAATAACTGTTACTATCATTTTGCATGGATTAAAAATATGTCAGCGTTGTTATCTTCCCAACTATCTCGTAGATGACATAAGAAATTCTTCTGCAATATTTGTCTGAACCACTTTTCAACGAGTGATTTATTAGAAAAGCATACGCTTAAATGTCATCAAGTCAATAAGTGCTCCATTCGATTGCCTAATGACTCGGAAAGGATTCTAAAATTCACACATTATTCTAACATGGAGAAGGTGGCATTTACTATTTATGCAGACCTTGAGTGCATCTTGGAAAAATGTGATAAAGTCAATCTTCCAAATGCTAACACAACATTTTACCAAAAGCATACTCCCTTTAGTATTGCCTTTTACCTTAAGTGTTCGTATGATGAGTCGCTTTCGAAATTGTTTTCATACAGAGGACCTGATTGTATTCAATGGTTTATTAAACGATTGCGCGAGATTGCCGATTGGGCAAATGAAATTGTGAATACTATTGTTCCCATGGAAGTTCTTAGTCCTCATCAGATGCAAAACTATTTGAACGCTATAGTGTGTCACATTTGCGAGAAACCTTTTACCGAAGATCAAATTAAAGTACGCGATCACCATCATATGACGGGGCGGTACAGAGGGGCGGCTCACCAGGCATGTAATTTGAACTTTAACCACTCCCATGTTATACCAGTCGTTTTCCATAACTTAAGCGGATACGATGCCCATTTTTTTATTCGAGAACTCGCTATCGGCTTTCCTGGCGGAATTAAACTCTTACCTTTAAACAAAGAAAAATATATTTCTTTCACGAAGCATGTGCAGAACACTAACATAGATTTTCGATTTATCGATTCCTTTAGATTTATGAGCAGTAGTATAGATAAGCTATCTTCGTATTTAGATAATGAGCAGAAAACTATTACTAGAGCGCATTGTCGTAATGCAAATGAATTCCATTTGTTAACTCGAAAGGGAGTGTTTCCATATGATTACGTTGATTCGTGGGAGAAATTAAATGAGACAGTGTTACCAACTCGAGATGCATTTTTTAGTCAATTAAAAAATGAAGCTGTGAGCGAAGCGGACTATGAACATGCGAATCACATTTGGAACGCGTTCGAAATTAAAACCTTAGGTCAATATTCTGATCTCTATTTGATGACGGACGTTCTCCTTTTGGCGGATATCTTTGAAAATTTTAGGGAGACTTGTTTGCGTACCTATCGCTTAGATCCGTTACATTATTACACCGCCCCGGGTTTGGCATTTGACGCAATGCTTAAAGTCACCGACGTTAAATTAGAACTTTTAAGTGACATTGATCAAATGATGTTTATTGAAAGTGGTATAAGAGGAGGTGTAGCACAATGTTCAATGAGATACGCGAAGGCCAATAACCCGTACATGAAAGAAAAATATAATCCTAACCTGGAGACGACCTATTTAATGTATTATGATATTAATAACCTTTATGGTGCCTCAATGTGTGAATTCTTGCCTTGCAGCGATTTTTCCTTTGTAGATGACATTCAAAATTTAGATATTCTAAACCATCCTGATGATTCAGACGTTGGTTATATTGTAGACTGTGATTTAGAGTATCCTTTGGAATGCCACAGATTACATTCTGATTTACCTTTGGCCCCAGAGCATCTAGTGCCAAATAACTCAAAATTAAAGAAACTAATGCTTACCTTGTACCCAAAGCACAACTACGTAGTTCATTATAGAAATTTAAAGATGTACGTACAACATGGGTTAAAGTTGATAAAAATAAATAGAGTATTACAGTTTAAGCAATCACCGTGGCTGAAAAAGTATATTGAATTAAACACTCGCATGAGGCAACAAGCGAAAAATATGTTTGAAATAGAATTTTACAAATTAATGATTAATTGCGTCTATGGTAAACTTATGGAGAACGTGCGAAAATACAAAGATGTGAAACTATTAACCAAATGGGAGGGAAGGTATGGAGCCCGTGCGTATATAGCGAAGCCAAACTTTAGCAGTTGTACCATTTTTGATAAGGATATGGTTATAATAGAGATGGATAGGTTAGAGATATTTTTCAATAAACCAATATACGCGGGATTTGCCGTTTTAGATATATCAAAAACGTTTCTCTATGACTTTCATTATAACTACATTCTCAAACAGTTTAAAGATAAAACAAAACTTCTGTATACAGATACCGATAGCCTAATATACTATTTTACAGTTCCCAATATATACGAGAATATAAAAGATGATATACATCGATTTGATACCTCAAATTATGATATCAATAATGAATATGGGATTCCATTAAGGCCGTCTGACACTATGCTAAATTTTGTATAAAATTTTGCACTAGAAAATTTTGTAAAAAATTTTGTACAAAATTTAGAAAAAAAAATGAAATGTGTCTGACACTATTTAAAAATTATGGTAAAATAAAATTATTCACGCTTGCTCAGTCTCAGTTACAACATGGGGAATTTTGATTTTGGTTGTTACCTCATTGGTTTTCACTAAAAGCAGCTGTTGGTGCGACATAACCTATACGCTTTGTTATTATATGTACTTATTTAGTCGAATCGATTACATTTCATATCACTGACTTTAGCTATGCCTAATACAAACATATCATTAATGCACGCGGCGCTTGCCGCCACGGCAATTATTCTTTTGCGAAAAATGCTGTTACGCTTAAAACAAAAACGCAATCGACGAAGATTGTGGTCGAGAACGTGGTTACAACGGCGAAATGAGGGTAGAGGCGTTTTAAATATGTTAAACCAAGAGCTTCTGCAGGAGGACCTCGTATCTTACCAAAATTACCTTCGCTTAAACAATAAACAGCTGGGATATTTGCTAGCATTAGTGAAAGATGACATAACCAAACAAGATACCCACTTACGAGAGTGTATCCCCGCTAGAAGCAAGTAAGTATCAAAGAAGCCTTACATTTTAGGGCATATAGCATGTACAGTTCTTAACTTCAGATTACAAGTTACTCTAAGATTTTTGGCAACCGGAGAGACGTTTCGATCCCTTATGTACGCAACAAGGATTCACGAAACTACAATTAGTCGTTTCATACCCGAGGTGTGCAACGCAATCGTGTTAAAATTGAAACCAAATTATTTGAAGGTAAGTTGTCGTTTTGTCAGTATGTTTATAAAATTTATTGAAACAATTTAAACTCTTACAGACACCAAACACGCCAGAAGAGTGGAATAAAATTGCGGATGATTTTAATAATTTATGGCAGTTTCCACACTGCATTGGAGCACTCGATGGACGCCATATAACATTCAGAGCCCCAATGTCGGCAGGATCGTACTATTACAACTATAAAAGTTCTAATAGTATTGTGCTGCTGGGTTTGGCAGATGCAAATTATAAATTTATTTACATAAATATTGGTGTTAACGGACGCATTAGCGATGGCGGGGGGTTTAACAACAGTAAGTTGTCAAAGGCACTGCAAGACAACACACTTAATTTGCCACAGCCCAAACTGCTGCCAGGAATGGAACATCCAATGCCCTATGTCATTGTCGCCGATGATGCATTTCCATTAGCAACAAACCTAATGAAGCCCTATCCTGAACGAGGACTTACCAAAGAATGCAGGATATTTAATTATCGTCTATCACGTGCAAGACGCATAATTGAAAATGCATTTGGCATTTTAGTGAATAGATTTAGGGTACTTTTAAATCCAATTAATTTAATTCCAGAAAAAGTAGAATTAATTACATTGACTTGTGTCTTATTACATAATTTTCTTGCCACTGAAAACTCACAATCCTATATAGAGATTGACGAGGACATCAAAGACCTGCAAAAAGTAACACGACAGTGTGGTAATCGAACGTCGAATAATGCGAGAGAAATTCGTGATCGATTTAAAACTTTTTTCAATTCTTTAGAAGGGTCTGTAGATTGGCAGGAAGAGGCAATAAATAATTTTAATATGTATACAATGTATTTTATATTCTTACCCTGGCCTATTATTTACATTCTACTTTTTTTTATACTGCGATACAGGCATTCAACAATTTCCTGTTCCACTTCGAGACGTATGTCTTCGTTCGTAATTTGATTTAAGGTCGATTCTCACTTTCGTGCAAGGCACGTACTCGGCACAGGCAAGGCACCGACTCGGCAAAATATCTATATTATTGAATCTTATGAATTTTTTGGGGTGTAATTCACACTATGCGAGCAACGACTCGGCAAGCTACGGCCTTTGCACGCAGCGTTCTTCCGAAACAATATTTGCCGGGCATGTACCGTGCACGTTCCGACAAGTGTGAATACAATCTGTGCAGGTGGCCGACTTTCGTTCAGTTTTCATAGTACAAGAAACGTTGAAGGGTCAGCAAAGGAACACTTTTTCAGCGGAACAAGATGAGATGCTGATTGAATGTGTCCAAGAAAATGATTTCGGTCATAAAAGATACTTCTTATGCATTTTATGTACACAAAAACGTATTTTTCTTTTTCTGCAATATGTACTTTCTTGTTCTTCATCATCTAATATTAGACCAATTTTAATTAACGTGAAAGTTTCGAACATTTTTACAGTTGAAACTCACGTAGAAACTGCTTACCTGCGGCAAGCGTGTCGCAGTGTGAATTGAACTCAAAAAACTTTGCCCGTGCCGAGTATGTGCCGTGCCGGTTCTTTGCACGAAAGTGAGAATCGGCCTTTAATTTGCAAACAATAAATTTTGCTAACGCTTCGTCTTCTTCATTTTTGCCTTGATTCGTCTTCATTGCCTGATTAATAGATGCAAGTGTATTTGACGCTTCCCGTATGAGATTTTCTTCCACTGGCTCTTGCCGCAGTTT